TCAGTGAACAGAGCAGCCACCACTGAGCTTCTCAGAGATGCCAGTCCCCTCTTTGCTGGTACATTTCTTATTGCTTTAGTGAAGAGAATGCCCTTTGGGTGAAGGGAATCATGGTAAAACTATTCATATATTCCTACTGTGGCACAAAGAACATGATTTGGCCTTTTGTATTTGGTATGATTTGGTATGTATTTGGCCTTTTATATATGGTTTGGTTTTTGAAAATACTCTGAGCAGTTAAGGTGCTCTTCCTTTCTAACATAGCCAGGCTATACTTAAATATAAGGAGCCCTAGTAACTCAGTGGTTAAGCACTCAGCTGCTAACCAAAAGGTTGGAGGTTTGAACCCACCAGCTGCTCTGTGGGAGAAAGATGTGGCAGTTTGCTTCTGTAAAGATTTACAGACTTGGAAACCCTATGGGGCAGTTCTTTTCTGTCCTATAGGGTCACAATGAGTCGGAAATGACTTGACGGCAATGGGTTTTTGGTTTGGTATACTTAAATATGTATAAATAAGTAGGGGCTACACAGGCCCCACACCTGGCAAACTAACTCCAGGAAGGGCAGGGGCACAATGCAGTCATGCATATTCACTGATTGGATTGATCATAACTGTGAATTAAGGCCCCAGTTAAGCATATTCATTGAAGTCCTAATGATTAGGGGACCTGGACCTTGGAGCTTCTCTCCTTGGGGCTTCATGGCTTGGTGAGAACATCCATTCATGGGAGAGAGTGCAGCACATCCCTGGGGACAGTGGAAGCCCCTGGTGCCAGGACTTCTCCAGACCTAGCCTTGCCTGATGCGTTGCTTCACTTGTATCCTTTCTGGTTATAATAAATGATGAAATGTAAGTATAAGTAATAGTCTCTGTGAATTTGTGAGCCGTTATAGAGAATTAACGAACCCACAGCGATAATGAGCCAGCAGGGGTTGGCAGTACATCGTTGATTTGTGTAGACCACGCTCTGGGTGGCTAGGTCACAGAGAAAGGCTGCACGGAAAGTCTATGAAGGATAGAGTCCTTCTAGCTTGTGACATAGTCCCAGGGGATAAGAGAGACAGGTAGGTCTGACATGCAGGGAGTTGTGCAAACTCCTGAGTCTACTCCAATAACCTAGCCTCAGGGTGGCCAGGGATGAGGTCTGATCTAACTCTGGGTGGTTAGGGTCAGAGAGAGAGCAATTGCCGCAGAAGTGGCTGAGGACTAGGCATGGAGACGTGGGAAGGTGAAGTTAGGATCTATTTCCAGCTGGGAATTGGATTCATTTTGATCCTTGCCACACAGTTAGTGATAAAAGTGGGGCTTACCTACCTCATGCCTTTTTTAGTGCACTCATCACACCTACCACCTTGAGACTTCTGACTCCTTCCTCAATACTAGGCTAGGAAAATTCTGGCATCTTTACCTCATTTGCTGTAAACTACCACCATGTCCAAGTTGCAGGGGGCCATCTCAACAGACTATTGCAGCCAGCTCCAGGTGCCCTTATCAGAACACTGGATCCCAAGTCATGAGTGAAGGCCCATGGCAATAATTCTCCCCCATTCAGATTTAAATTTGCTACCCTCAAACCCGGTACTCTTAAAATGTATTCCAACACATAGCCTCTGTTTTCTATTGACATATTAGCCAGGTCCTGCAATTCCTTTGATGTGTAAGCAAGGCTTTACTTCTGTACTTGGACAAGGTTAGACTTGACCCTGTTTATTGGTCTGGGGGCAGAGAGAGACGATAGAAGCGGATCTTAAAGCCTTCAAGTACCATTATTTTTAATTTTTAAAAAAATTTAATTGAGGTGTAATTAGCCCTGTCTCTGGCATTTATTGGCTATGGGCTTCTGGACAAGTCACTTCATCTCTTGTAGCCTTGGTTTTTTTTTCGTCTACAAAATGGGGACAATAACACCCATTTTGAAGCTGATTTGAGGTTGGAATGCATTGGCATTTGAAAAGCATCTAGCGCAAATACCTGGCACATAGTAGGCACTCAATATACGTCTGCTCATATTTTACAGTCTGGATTATAAGTATTTATGTTCATATTTTCCACTGCCTTTCCCCCTCCCCCAGGCAGGGACCCCTCTTGATTTGATTCTTCTCTGCCTCCCAGTGCCTAGTGTAGTGCCTCTTGGCACAAAGCAGACGCCCGATATGTATGTTTAAAGAATGAATGCACAGGGGGCACAGAGTATGCACTCGATAAACAGGAATGGAAGAACGATGTATGAAAGAATAGGTCGCCAACCGCCACCTACCACGCTGCCCCACGAACTTCCGACCCAAGAGCAGCGCCAAGCCCAGGCCCCGCCTCCTACGCCGCCAGACTGCAGCTGCCGAAAGCGGCGAAGCCGAACCCCGGCCCTGACCAATCGGAATGCCCCCTCTGGGGCCCGCCCCATTCCAAAAATCGGCCGCCAGGACGCGCGGTCTTGGAAGTTGACCAATCGGCTGTTGGCCTCGGCTGTTTGCCCCGCCCCACGGTTGAAACTGCCGCTTCGGAGCGCAGAGTAATGCTTGGCGGAGCACCCTGCATCTGACCAATCAGAGCCGTCAGCGTGGGCCCCGCCCCCGGCTGGAGACGCGCGGGGCGGGGCGAAAGAGGAGTAGCAGCGTTTGCGACAGCTGAGCAGGTTGGGGCTTCCAGACGGTGAGTGCCCGAGCGGCTGTGCAGACCTCCGTGGGGTGGGATTCGGCTGTCAGTCCCACGTGCACCTGCGGAGGTTCAGGGTGCCGCGATAAGGTCCCCCTTATCTAGGGTCCTGCCTCTGCGTCCCCGAGCGCTACCCCTTTGACTTTTCTTCCCCCAGTGTCTCTTTTGAACATCACTTTCCGTTGAGTTGGCGCAGCTTTTAACTTTCCTGACGCGGTCGAGCCGGGAGGAGGGCCGTGTAGGCTCCCTTTAACCTCGTGCGAAAACGGAGGCCCTCGGACCAGAGGGGTATGGCCCAGCGTCGCTCCATCGTTTTAAAGGTGGGGGCCGGGACTCCCAGCCCTGCGGACCAGGCGGCTTGCCCCAGTGTCTGCACCTCCACTGACTCCCCTGCAGGGCATTTGTAGGTTAGGGGGCGTTTCCGTGCATCTGACTTCTCTGCCCGAGCCCCTGCAGCCCGCCCCGAGGAGAGGAGTGTAGGGTCTGCTGGGGCAGGATCTCTGAGAGCAGGATGCCTGACCAGACGCAGTGTTAAAATGGCATGGTGCGTGTTGGCGGAGACCATTTCTGGTTGGAAGAGTCTGGGTCTGGGGCTGTGAGCGAAGTGAGAAGCCCCTTCCCCAGCCTGCAGAAATTCCTTCCAGAGTATTCCCTTCCTGATCTTGCATCCTTGGGTGACAAAGGGCTGGGAGGAGAAGGAGGAGGCTCCCCAAGTCCCTCCCCACACTGCCACGTGGCAGACCATGAACCTTGGAGCCAGATTTGGGTTTGAATCCTGACTTTGCCACTTACTGTGTCTAGTAGCTTAACTTCTCTGAATCTTGTCTCGATTTTTTTTTTTTTTTTTAAAAAAGGAAAGGAAGTCAAGAGGGAAGAGTCCCCAGGAGGCTGATTTCTGTTGGATTCAGGAATTATAATGCTTTTTATGTGCAGTTTTCTACAAATTAGATAGATAGCTGCTGTCATGTCAGCTCCGACTCATGGTGACCTTACGTAGGACAGAACAAAACATTGCCTGGTCCTGCATCATCCTCACAATTGCTGGCATATTTGAGTCTATCATTGGGTTGTTGTGCCAATCTGTCTCACCAAGGGTCTTCTCCCTGGCTGGCCCTCTACTTCACCAAACATGATGTCCTCCTCCAGTGATTGGTCCCTCCTGATGATGTAGCCAAAGCAAGGGAGTTGGACAGTGTTCTGTTGTGATCCATAAGATTTTCTCTAGCTAATTTTCAGAAGTAGATCCTAGTCTGTCTTAGTCTGGAAACTCCTCTGAAATCTGTCCATCATGGGTGACCCTGCTGGTATTTGAAATACTGGTAGCATAGTTTCCAGCATCATAGCAACATATAAGCCACCACAGTAGCTGACAGACAGATGGTGGTTTCTACAAATTAAGCTAGTCTAATTTTGTAGTTAAGGTTGTTAAGGGAGGGTTATTCTCTTTTGGCAGGTAAGGAGACACACCCTAAACGGTCTTCTCTAATAATAATAGATGTTTATTGAATACTTGGTCCCTGGGTGGCACAAATGGTTAAGCGCTCGACTACTTGTGTGGTTAAGAGCTACGGCTGCTAACCAAAAGGTCAACGGTTCGAATCTACCAGCCACTCCTTAGAAACCCTGTGGTGCAGTTGTACACTGTCCTATAGGGTCGCTATGAGTCAGAATCAACTTGATGGCAGTCGGTTTGGTTTTTAGTTTTTTTTTACTTGCCAAAAGGTTGGCAGTTTGAACCCACCCAGAGGTGCCTCAGAAGGCACGCCTGGCAATCTGCTTCTGAAAGGTCACAGGCTTGAAAATCCTGTGGAGCTGTTACACGCTGCACACATGAGGTCTCCATGAGTCGGAGGTGATTGGACGACACCTGAAAATAACAATTAAATGCTTAGCGTGTGCCAGGCGGAAACCCTGGTGGCAAAGTGGTTCAGTGCTATGGCTGCTAACCAAAACGCTGGCAGTTGGAATCCACCAGGTGCTCCTTGGAAGCTCCATGGGGCAGTTCTATTCTGTCCTGTAGGGTCACTGTGAGTTGGAATCGACTCGACGGCAATGGGTGTGTCAGGCACTGTACTTGAGAGTTTAATCCTTAGAACCACCTTATGAGATATACTGTTACCATCTCTGTTTGGCAGATGTGTAAGCCTCTCTGAGGCACAGAGAAGCTAAATAACTTGCTGAAACCACACAGGGAGTATCAGAGTGGTGATTCAAACCCGGGCTTCTGGCCCAAAGGATACCTTCCTCACCCTTTGTCATGCTGTTTTGACTTCAGCCCAGGGACCAGTGACCCATCAGCCCAGGGGCCAGTGATACCCTCTGTGGGAAGCTCGATGACACACCCAAGATGATGGAGACCGAGGACCTGGTGCAGCTGCGGAGGCTCAACCTGGAGCTGCTGAGGCAGCTGTGGGCCGGGCAGGATGCCGTGCGGCGGTCTGTGGCTGAGGCAGCGTCTGAGGTGGGTGCAGGAACGGGCTGCCTAACCCTCAGGCCAGAATGCAGATCCCTAGGGTCTTCTGGTCCAACATGTCCATTTTACTGATGGGAAAACCAAGGCCCAGTAAGGGAAGAGACTGACCTAGGACACTGCTGAGGCTGGAGCAGGGATGAGGACCAAGGCCTTCATGCTTAATTAGGCTAGCTCTGTGGGTGGCCTGGGGCCGGGCCACTCTCTGGGTGACGTGGCCCCTCTCCTCCAGTCAAATCTGGACGCCAGCAGCAGCCACAATGCAGAAATGCTGTCATCACGGGAGACGACGTCAACGGCCTCCTCCCCACCAAGCGCCCCTCAAGATGGCCCCTGTGATCTGGCTTGGCCTGGCAGGACCAGCTCCCTGGCAGTCTCTCTCCCACCCCCCAAGTGCCAACGCCAGAAGTCCCTGGGCCAACTGAGGCCGTACTCAGCACCCTTGCCGCTCACCTCGGACTTGAATGATCCAGAGCTTTCAGCAGGGCTGGACAGTCTGGGACCCCAGGAGGCCCTGAGATCCGTCCTGACTCCTCGACAAAGCAAGCCATCCAAGGTAACGGGTGGCAGGTCATCCATCAATGAGATCTTCTTCTAGCCTCTGTTTCCCCATCTGACAAACATGCTCACGGGCAGCCTCCTTTGCAGGATGTGAGGCTTCCAGGAGATACCATGTGAGTCATGTCTGGCTTAGCCTAGGTGCTTGATAAGTGGTGGCCATTAGTTTCTCAGTACTTTACGAAGAAGGTGATAAGCCCCATTTTACAGATGGGAAGAATGAGACGCAGAGGCCAGCTGCTCCAGGTCACACAGAGGAGGCCAAACTCTTTATGTTGTGGCTCTTGAGCCCTTGACTGAGCCCTGGGGCCCATATCAGGGTATAAATTAAGACACAGCCCCTTTCTCTCCCCAAGGTGAGGCCTCCTTTGGGCCAGGCCTGCTGGCCTAGCCCTTTTTCCTTTCTGCCTCCCTCCTCAGCCTAGAGTGACCTTCAGCAAGGAGCCTGGAGTGCCTGAGTGGAACTGGCGCCTTAGGCCATACCTGGGCTACGACTGGATTGCAGGTGTGGCCCGTCCCCATGCCCATGTTTTCCTGGGAGTGGGAGGTGGGGGCCCAGCTTGCCTGTGAACCTGCCTGAGCCTCTACTGAGTGTTGCTGCTGTCTGTCTGTCTGTGCTGCCCTCCTCAGTGAGCATCTTCTGCACCGTGTCTATTCTTTCAGCCCCTGGCACAGTGAAGGGCACAGCGATGGTGCTCAACCAATGTTTGTTGAATGAATGAATGAGTCAGAGCCGCTGTATTTTTGAAGTACTTTCGTGCCAGGCACTATGCAATGCTCTGTACATGGATCATCTCTTTAAATTTTACTACCCCTGAGCAACTTCAGTGGCCTCTTGGCTGGTCTCTCTCTGTCCTCTTTTGCCCCCATTACAATCCGTTTTCAACACACAGCAGCCAGAACAAATTTTTTAAACATGGGAATCAGATGGCCCTAGTTCAACAAAAAACAGTAAAATCACAAAATCGCAAGAGAAGAAGGACCAATCAAAAGCATAACATGAAGAGGAGGAAATTTCTTCTATGGAGGTCAGACTAATGCAAAAAACTGATAATTTTCAGACTGTAGTGCTAAATAGGTTTAAAGAAAGCAGAAAGCATGGAACAAAACACTGCCCAGTCCTGTGCCACCTCCATGATTGGTTGTGAATCAGATCGTTGTGATACACAGGGTTTTCATGGGCTGATTTTCAGAAGCAGATTGCTAGGCCTTCCTTCCTAGTCCATCTTAGCTTGAAAGCTCCGCTGAAACCTGTTCAGCATCACAGTGATGTGCAAGCCTCCACTGACAGACAGGTGATGGCTATGCATGAGGTGCATTGGCTGGGAATCGAACCTGGGTCTCCAGCTTGGAAGGTGAAAAGTGTACCACTGAACCACCACTGTCCCCACACATCACCCATTAGGTGTTAGTCATATTAATCTCATACAATATCAAGATCCTGATTTCCACCCCACTGGCTCCTCACTCTGCCTTTCCTGTTTCTGTAAATGGCAGCTTCACATCTAGCGAGGGTCAAAGCTGCAATCTGTGATTTCCCATCTGGATGAAAAACTTCTCCCTTGATCCTCCATTTGCTTCTGGTTACGGCCAGTCTCTGCTTTTCTTCATGATGTTGTTGTTACATGCTGTCTAGTTGATTCTGACTCATGGTGACCCTGTGTACAGCAGAATGAAACACTGCCTGGTCCTGCGCCATCCTCACAATCATTGCTGTGTTTGAGCTCATTGTTGCAGCCACGGTGTCAATCCATCTCGTTGAGGGTCTTCCTCTTTTTCACTGACCCTCTACTTTACCAAG